CACCAGTTAGGGGATTACTACTGTTCCTCTTCTTATCACTGGTCACTGGTCTTTTGGTGAAGCCACACTGGTTAGGGAATAAATACTGTTCCTCTTCTTATCACTGGTTACTGGTCTTTAGGTGAAGCCAAACCAGTTAGGGGATTACTACTGTTCCTCTTCTTATCACTGGTCACTGGTCTTTAGGTGAAGCCAAACCGGTTAGGGGATTACTACTGTTCCTCTTCTAATCACTGGTCTTTAGGTGAAGCCACACCGGTTAGAGGATTACTACTGTTCCTCTTCTTATCACTGGTCACTGGTCTTTTGGTGATGCCACACCGGTTAGGGGATTACTACTGTTCCTCTTCTTATCACTGGTCACTGGTCTTTTGGTGAAGCCTAACCAGTTAGGGGATTACTACTGTTCCTCTTCTGATCACTGGTCTTTAGGTGAAGCCACACCGGTTAGAGGATTACTTCTGTTCCTCTTCTTATCACTGGTCACTGGTCTTTAGGTGAAGCCACACCAGTTAGGGGATTACAACTGTTCCTCTTCTAATCACTGGTCTTTTGGTGATGCCACACCGGTTAAGGGATTACTACTGTTCCTCTTCTTATCACTGGTCACTGGTCTTTAGGTGAAGCCAAACCAGTTAGGGGATTACTACTGTTCCTCTTCTAATCACTGGTCTTTGGGTGAGACCACATCAGTTAGTGGATTACTACTATTCCTCTTTTTATCACTGGTCACTGGTCTTTGGGTGAAACCACACCGATTAGGGGATTACTACTGTTCCTCTTCTAATCACTGGTCTTTAGGTGAAGCCACACCGGTTAGAGGATTACTACTGTTCCTCTTCTTATCACTGGTCACTGGTCTTTTGGTGATGCCACAACGGTTAGGGGATTACTACTGTTCCTCTTCTTATCACTGGTCACTGGTCTTAAGGTGAAGCCAAACCAGTTAGGGGATTACTACTGTTCCTCTTCTTATCACTGGTCACTGGTCTTTAGGTGAAGCATAACCAGTTAGGGGATTACTACTATTCCTCTTCTAATCACTGGTCTTTGGTTGGGGCCACACCAGTTAGGGGATTACTACTGTTCCTCTTCTTATCACTGGTCACTAGTCTTAAGGTGAAGCCACACCAGTTAGGGGATTACTACTGTTCCTCTTCTTATCACTGGTCACTGGTCTTTTGGTGAAGCCACACTGGTTAGGGAATAAATACTGTTCCTCTTCTTATCACTGGTCACTGGTCTTAAGGTGAAACCAAACCAGTTAGGGGATTATTACTGTTCCTCTTCTTATCACTGGTCACTGGTCTTTAGGTGAAGCCACACCAGTTAGAGGATTACTACTGTTCCTCTTCTTATCACTGGTCACTGGTCATTTGGTGATGCCACACCAGTTAGGGGATTACTACTGTTGCTCTTCTTATCACTGGTCACTGGTCTTTAGGTTAAGCCACACCAGTTAGGGGATTACTACTGTTCCTCTTCTTATCACTGGTCACTGGTCTTTTGGTGAAGCCACACCGGTTTGGGGATTACCACTGTTCCTCTTCTTATCACCGGTCACTAGTCTTAAGGTGAAGCCAAACCAGTTAGGGAATTACTACTGTTCCTCTTCTTATCACTGGTCACTGGTCTTTAGGTGAAGCCACACCGGTTAGGGGATTACTACTGTTCCTCTTCTTATCACTGGTCACTGGTCTTTAGGTGAAGCCAAACCAGTTAGGGGATTACTACTGTTCCTCTTCTAATCACTGGTCTTTAGGTGAAGCCACACCGGTTAGAGGATTACTACTGTTCCTCTTCTTATCACTGGTCACTGGTCTTTTGGTGATGCCACACCGGTTAGGGGATTACTACTGTTCCTCTTCTTATCACTGGTCACTGGTCTTTTGGTGAAGCCAAACCAGTTAGGGGATTACTACTGTTCCTCTTCTAATCACTGGTCTTTAGGTGAAGCCACACCGGTTAGAGGATTACTACTGTTCCTCTTCTTATCACTGGTCACTGGTCTTTAGGTGAAGCCACACCGGTTAGGGGATTACTACTGTTCCTCTTCTTATCACTGGTCACATGTCTTTTGGTGATGCCACACCAGTTAGGGGATTACTACTGTTCCTCTTCTTATCACTGGTCACTGGTCTTTTGGTGAAGCCACACTGGTTAGGGAATAAATACTGTTCCTCTTCTTATCACTGGTTACTGGTCTTTAGGTGAAGCCAAACCAGTTAGGGGATTACTACTGTTCCTCTTCTTATCACTGGTCACTGGTCTTTAGGTGAAGCCAAACCGGTTAGGGGATTACTACTGTTCCTCTTCTAATCACTGGTCTTTAGGTGAAGCCACACCGGTTAGAGGATTACTACTGTTCCTCTTCTTATCACTGGTCACTGGTCTTTTGGTGATGCCACACCGGTTAGGGGATTACTACTGTTCCTCTTCTTATCACTGGTCACTGGTCTTTTGGTGAAGCCAAACCAGTTAGGGGATTACTACTGTTCCTCTTCTGATCACTGGTCTTTAGGTGAAGCCACACCGGTTAGAGGATTACTTCTGTTCCTCTTCTTATCACTGGTCACTGGTCTTTAGGTGAAGCCACACCAGTTAGGGGATTACAACTGTTCCTCTTCTAATCACTGGTCTTTTGGTGATGCCACACCGGTTAAGGGATTACTACTGTTCCTCTTCTTATCACTGGTCACTGGTCTTTAGGTGAAGCCAAACCAGTTAGGGGATTACTACTGTTCCTCTTCTAATCACTGGTCTTTGGGTGAGACCACATCAGTTAGTGGATTACTACTATTCCTCTTTTTATCACTGGTCACTGGTCTTTGGGTGAAACCACACCGATTAGGGGATTACTACTGTTCCTCTTCTAATCACTGGTCTTTAGGTGAAGCCACACCGGTTAGAGGATTACTACTGTTCCTCTTCTTATCACTGGTCACTGGTCTTTTGGTGATGCCACAACGGTTAGGGGATTACTACTGTTCCTCTTCTTATCACTGGTCACTGGTCTTAAGGTGAAGCCAAACCAGTTAGGGGATTACTACTGTTCCTCTTCTTATCACTGGTCACTGGTCTTTAGGTGAAGCATAACCAGTTAGGGGATTACTACTATTCCTCTTCTAATCACTGGTCTTTGTTGGGGCCACACCAGTTAGGGGATTACTACTGTTCCTCTTCTTATCACTGGTCACTAGTCTTTAGGTGAAGCCACACCAGTTAGGGGATTACTACTGTTCCTCTTCTTATCACTGGTCACTGGTCTTTAGGTGAAGCCAAACCAGTTAGGGGATTACTACTGTTCCTCTTCTAATCACTGATCTTTGGATGAGACCACATCAGTTAGTGGATTACTACTGTTCCTCTTCTTATCACTGGTCACTGGTCTTTGGGTGATGCCACACCGATTAGGGGATTACTACTGTTCCTCTTCTAATCACTGGTCACTAGTCTTTGGGTGTAACCACACCGATTAGGGGATTACTACTGTTCCTCTTCTAATCACTGGTCTTTAGGTGAAGCCACACCGGTTAGAGGATTACTACTGTTCCTCTTCTTATCACTGGTCTTTTGGTGAAGCCACACCGGTTAGAGGATTACTACTGTTCCTCTTCTAATCACTGGTCTTTTGGTGAAGCCGCACCGGTTAGAGGATTACTACTGTTCCTCTTCTTATCACTGGTCTTTTGGTGAAGCCACACCGGTTAGAGGATTACTACTGTTCCTCTTCTAATCACTGGTCTTTAGGTGAAGCCACACCGGTTAGAGGATTACTACTGTTCCTCTTCTTATCACTGGTCTTTTGGTGAAGCCACACCGGTTAGAGGATTACTACTGTTCCTCTTCTAATCACTGGTCTTTAGGTGAAGCCACACCGGTTAGAGGATTACTACTGTTCCTCTTCTAATCACTGGTCTTTTGGTGATGCCACACCGGTTAAGGGATTACTACTGTTCCTCTTCTTATCACTGGTCACTGGTCTTAAGGTGAAGCCAAACCAGTTAGGGGATTACTACTGTTCCTCTTCTAATCACTGGTCTTTGGTTGGGGCCAAACCAGTTAGGGGATTACTACTGTTCCTCTTCTTATCACCAGACATTCTCCAAAATCAGTTTGTAAGCAAGTTGAGGAAACAATTCAGGATCTTTTTTAAAAGTGAACGAAAAAAACAGACTTATTAATGATGAATTTCTCTCTTGGGAGTATTTTGTTGATTATGGCTTACAAGATGCAATTAAAGAAATTTTGAGTTAAATTAGGTATATAGTTGCCAAAATTTAAGCAATCAGAGATCATGTCATATCATGACATAGTATGCCAAAAAGCATGTAAAATGTGTGCTGAAAAAAATATGGAGATGTGGTATGATTTGATAATTTGACAAATAACAGTATCCCTACTGACCAACGAACAAACTGTGCTTCATTACCTTTTGAAATCATACAAATTAAGTACAATTAACAACCATTAATTTATTTATTATTCTATAGTTGGAAAAATTCAGTTTTATTTTATAATGAATGGAAAAAATAAAAGTATTTAGCTGCAAATCTAAAACTGTGTGTACCAGCCTGTAAAACAAAAAGTGATTGTAAACAGTTAATAAAGAAAGTATATAACATGCTTAAAGTGTATCAGTTGGCTATTATGATTGGGTACCAGTTTTAAACAATATTATCACCTGCTGCATGACAGGGTAATCTTAAGTTATGATGAATGTTTTTGTAGAAAACATCTTGTTTATTATACCAATTCTGATGATACAGTGGATTAGAATGATGGAAAATTTACATAATACCCTATATGATAGACCTGAAGGTTAATCTCTGGAACTCTAGTAACCTTATTTTGAACCAAAAGCTGTAATCTTTTACCAAAGGAAACTATTGAAGTAGTTTTAAATTATTTTGAGACTCGTGTTTAAAATATAAGATCACATCAAGTTTAGCCTCTAAGTTTTCATGCTTTTAAGTTGTTTTTTTTTATGTGATTTGTAGCTTCATCAGGATGGACTAGAACAGAGAAGATCATAGCTGGATCTGTTGCTGGTGGAATAGGACTCCTTATTATAATTATATTTATTGTTTGCTGTTTCACCATGCCATTGTAAGTTTTATACATATTCGTAAAGTGGTCTCGATTCAGAAGGACACATTTTCAAGAGCAGAACAGCTAGCATCTATCTTTTTAATCTCAAACATATATAACTAAAAGGATATGGGGGGATATGTCAATGAGACAGCCATCCATCAACAACAACAACCAAAAGGGCAACATACAGGCTTCAACAATAGACAGGTGTTTATACAATTTGGCAAGCTCTAAATTGTCCCGAGTTTATACTAATGTTATGAATAAATTTAACAGAAATAATCTTTTATCTGCCGTAAACATGTATGTGTCAGTACACGTATACATATCAGCAAATATAATAGCATAACAATTTCGCTTTTATTTGGCAGCACAGACGGAGAAAGAACAATTTACGCATCGTCTACACAAGAGTTCACCACCCTTAGCTTTTTGTTCAATGTATATAATATTTGGTTTAGGGTTAAAACTGTAATATTGGTATCAGAAATTTGAGTTTGTTAACCTCTATGTTATAATAAAGTAGACATTCAAAATGGTATCCATCATGATATTTAGAAAATAATCCAAAAATATTAAGATTCATAATTTACAATTGATTTGACCAATTTGTGTCGGTTTTGAAGAGAGAAATTTTAAGACAACATGTAATAAATACATCTGATAAACCCTGCCCTACATCTCAGCTTACAGAAAAAAAATTGTATATCAGATCATGTAGGAACAAAAATACTAGTTATGCTGATTGGTCAATAGACTTGATATTACTTGGTACTGAGGTGTACCTATTAAGAAATTTCCTGTCTTCATATTACTGCTGTTACTATATAAAACAAATATTTATCTGTTTTTACCTAATTATCAAATCGGTTTTTGGACCAAATCAATTTAATTGATTCTTCATATCACCAAATAAAGTGATAATCATGATGACAGCCGGCTATCTTAAATAGAATATATAATACAATTATTGTCTGTTGATGAGGTAAATGTGTGGTTTTATTGACTTTTAAAGAAATGTAATAAGCTGAATCAAAAGACAGTTATTATTTTATACCGTATTTTGATGGAAGAAAGTTGTATTCAATGACAAAATCATAAAAGCTAACTGTACATCTTACCTAATGTCATTATCATCAAATTCTTTAGATATTTACTGAATTTTTTAAGTCCCAAGCCTGGATGGGAAAGGTGGAGGATTGTGCAAAGGGCCAGAACGTAAAAAAACTATGCTACAGAAATTACAATGAATTGAAATTTCCATCTATTAAAATCGGAAAAAATAAAAAGTGATTTTAAATATCTCCTTTTTTTTAATAGATGGAGAAGGAATCGTATGCCATCAATGCCATCACCAAATGTTCAGAAGGTTGATGTTGATGACAATGCTAATCCATACAGTATGCCAGTTGTTCATCAACCACTGCTCTACCATGATCGTGATGTAGATAGAGTTAGTATGTTCAACATAGTTCCCGTTCATCAACCTACCTATTACGATAACTACTTTAGTGGTACAGGACCTAGGGGACAACTACATTTCAGAGATCCCTTGCCAGAATACATGAAGGAAGAAAAACTACAACTACCAGATATACCAGTAATCTATCAGGATAATGCAACATATTCCACAGGTATTGGTTAGTTTGATGAAATTACATTGATGTTACACAATTTGATCAGTTTTGACATCTATATTCTTAGTCACTAGCTTTTATCCTATCTGACAGAAACTGATTTATACCATATGGTAGTGTTGGATAATCAGTTGAAATTACCAACCCATTATCTATTACTATCGGTTGACAGCAACCAACCGACAATCGGTTATAATCGCATCATTACACCTTGCTCTTTTTGTATATGAAATCATGCATTCAGCCACATTGTACATGTCTAATGCATATATTCCATATCATTGCAGAGTCTTAAATGTTCATGTTTAATCTTTAGTTTTCTTTTCATATTTTATCAAGCAATTAAAACAGTGAATCAATTAGAATATAGATTCCGATTAAACATATTTTGTCTGATGATTACAACTTTTATTATCAACAATGACACTAAAATTTCTAAATTTCAATGGTATCACTCACATTATAATTTCAAATACATAGCTTCATCAAAATTTGAATGCTTCTCATTAAAAAAAAAGATATATATATATAAAGTATTTAACTTTGAGCAATTCAAAATTAATCAATAAATAAAACAATGCATTTGCATTGAAATATATACATTTAACTAAGGGGATCCAACCAATGTCTGTTAATTCATGTGGAATGCGTATTTTTCACTTTTGTGATCTTTATTCTTACATGAGCTGTGTCATTCGTGCATCTGTACTTATAATTGTAAGAATACGGAATTCTTTCATAGTTGGTCAGTATTTGATCTGTGATACGTACATGTGTTTCAATGGCAGACAAACCGGGAAAATTTACAAAAATTAACGATGTTTGACAAGCAATTTGAAAAGGAATATGACGTTTTTAAAGCCACAAATTAATGAAACATTAATAAAAGGCAATTTGCACCACGTCCTCTAATGTAGCAACAAATTTATTTTATCGAAAATAAGAATGATTTGAAGTTCGCTCTCGAGTAACAAGTACCAGAAGTGAAATAAAGTATTTCATAAAAAGTTTTTTATTTTAAATAGCATATTACCAATCTGCAACGTCAATGCTTTTACCACGTTTGTACAGAAAGAAATTGCTTATGTCTTTGATTATAGGATGTTTGACATTGTTATTGTCATCTACTGATATTTTTCTTTACAATTTGTTTGACTGCGCATGTAAAATGCAAACCGGAAACGGACCGGAAGTTGATATGCTAAAAGTCTGGAAACTATTACGACAACCGATTGAACAAAATTCCAATCGATTATTGACATCGCCAAGCCCAACCAACTGATTTCCGACTTATTCCAATCATCAGAACAACACTACCATATGGTACACACTCACCTATCAGAAAGTGAATATCAGAACATTCTAAAAGTTTGCAATCGTATAATTACGATTTTCTAGGTCTGTTTGATTTAATGTCATAGATTAAAAAAAAATATGTAAATCCTTGTTTTGCCTATATTTGAATGATGTTCTGTGGTGAGAATCAGTCAATGAAAAGGATATTCCTGGTGGCTACCTTATTTCACTTTTCAATGTTTGCATTCTTTTCCTTTTAATAACTGAACTTGCTTAGCAAATGTGTATCCCATCCCAGTTAAGGGTTAAAAAGAAGTACACATGAATATGGATTCAAAAGAGTTGAATTATTGACTTGCAAGCAAATAATACATGATCAATGTTTTTGAGCTTATTTTGACAAAATTTAACCAAAAACTTGTTGCTAATAGAAAAATATTATTTCACAAATCTGCTTTTGTTTGAAACAAAAAAATCAAAATATGTCAACTTCATAGCTAATGCCCCTTTAAAGTAGATTAGAAAATTATATTCACTTGATATTATGGATTCATTTTAGTCTTGTCTGCGACAAAAATGGTAGAATGCTATACATAGGGATGCTAATCCTGCAGTGGCAGCTGCCTTAACTATTTGTGGGATGCTTAAAAAATGTATAGTTTTTATTTACGAGACGTATTATGGTATATCGTTGTCCGTCCGTCTGATGTCAACATGTCGGACAGTAACTCAAAAATGCTTTAACCAATTTATATGAAACTTTGGTGAATTGTTTATATCTATGGACGTACGCTCCCTTTCAATTTTTATAAATTTCAGATTTTACATTTCCTTGTTATGGGATTTTATTCATAAAAAATGGGTGATTTTCCAGTTTTCTGACTATAATTCAAAAATGCTTTGAACAATTTTCATGAAACTTTGATAAATTGATTATATATATTGACATAAGTTCCTTTTTGATATTTTAGAATTTCTGATTTTTCATTTTGGAGTATTGAGACTATATTCATAAAAAAGGAGGATTTTTCAGTTTTCCGACATTTACTCAAATATGCTTTGAGCAGTTTTCATGAAACTTTGGTGACAGGTTTATATCTATTAAAATAAGCTCCCTTTTGTCTATTTTATAAATTTTTGATATGACATTGAGGAGGACTGGAACTTTATTTGTTGAAAAAGCGATGGGCACATCATGTGCTCATAGCACAGCTTTTTATTTTGTAATGTAAAATACCCACTTATTATTAGTAAAATGTAATAGAATAACTATATTTGGTATATGGGATCCTTGCAAGGTCATCATGTCTGCCAGATAGGGTTCACCTGACCTCTACCTCATGGTTTATTGGTCAACACAAGTTTTTGTAGGTAGGTCCTTTTTAAGGTATAAGCAATAGGTCAGCTATATTTAGTGCATGAGATGATTGTTAAGCGTACATCACGTTTTGTCTGGCAGGGTTCATCTGAAATTGACCTCATTTACATCATCATTGATAATATTGAACTATTTGTATAAAGCTTTTTTATTTCAGTAGGTAGAAGATCTGGATGCTTCATACCTTGTATGCAGATACCTTATGTTACAGAGTTTCTGTCTGTCATATTTCCATTACATTTGACCTCATTTTCATGGTTCATCGACTGGTTTAAAAAAAAATTATAGTTTTTTGTCATGTGAATTTTTCACTTATTAGGAGTAATAAGATAACTGTATTCTTTGCAAGTTTTACTTGTCCATCGGACAGGGTTCACCTTACCTGACCTTGACCAAATTTCATGGATCAGCGACAAGGTTAATTTTTTGTAGTCAAGTCCATATATAAGATACTAGAAGCCATAGGTCAACTATATTTGGTGGTGTATGGAATGATTTTAAGGCATACTTGACTGACTGACCTCTTTTTCATGGTTCATTGGACAATGTTTATTTTTTTGTAGTTTGGTTTATTTCTCAGATACTTTAAGTAGTAGGGTCATTATATTCGGAGTATTGAATGATTGTAAGGTGTTCATGTCTTTCTGGCAGGTTTCATATGACCCTGACCTCATTTTCATGGTTCATGGATCAATGTTAAGTTTTCATTGTTTTGGCAGTTTATCCGATACTATGAGCAATAGGTAAACTACCCATATATTTGGTGTATGGTATGATTGTAAGGTTTACGTGTCCCTCTGGCAGGGTTCATATAACCTTGATCTCATTTTCATGGTTCATTGGACCTTGATCTCATTTTCATGGTTCATTGGTCAATGTTAAGTTTTTGTGGTTTTTGTAGGTCCACTTCATTTGGTGTATGGAATGATTGTTAGGTGTACATGTCTGTCTGGCATGGTTCATTTTCATGAATTATTGGTAATGTTATGTGTATGTGATATTTGCAGTAAAACCTTCATATTACAGACTTTCAACATAAATTCAATCATGATAAGTAAAGCAGGTGAGACATTTCAGTGTGTGCATTTTTGTTTGTTTTTGGTAACATTTCAATGGTTGTTTGGTCAATGTTAAGTTGATATAGTGAGCTATATTTCTATGATTCTATAAGAAATAAGCACATCTGACCTTTACAACAAATTACATGGATCATTTATAAAGTAAAGTATAAGTGATACCTGTAGTCAAAGACTTTCAATATAAAATTCAACCCTGATGCTATATGGCTTAAGTCCATTCTCATACTCTTGTTATCAGGTTTAAATTTTTTAATAGGACACAAATTATGCATTATACATGTTTTTCATGTAAGTTCATGACAAGTCATATTGAAGGAACATCTTCATTTGAACTTTACCTTTATTTGAGAGTTCATTGTCTTTTAAAATAGTTATATATTGCAACAGAAGTCACATATTAAAGTTCCAACTCAAATTTCATATACAATTGGTGCGTTTTACTGATTACTTTACAAAATTATCTGTATTTTATTTTCAGATCAACCTGCAGTTTATATACCAAAGTCAGCACAGAGAGATCTTAAAAAAAGAGACAATCTTTGAATCCCATCCTGTGTTTCATCCTTACAACTTTTCATCTTTGGAAATACAAAGTTCATTAGTTTGTCAGCAATGTTTTCAGATTGATTACCAAGTTGATAGCATTGCTACCATATTTATTATTTTCACAGATATAATAAATACATCATCATTCATTTTCATGTCAGAGTGATTCATATTTATTTGTTATTTGTGTAATTATGATGAAGTGTTGATGGGAAATCTGTGAAATTTTAATGTGATGAGGCAGTGAATAAAAATATCATAAAGTAGGGAAAAAAATAAACAAAAATTAATCATTGTCAGAACTAAGTTCATATTTTTCTTCCTATACTAAATAATGACAATGTAATAAGTTAATGACAATGAAGTAAGTTATGAATCTTTAATGATTAGTGCTATTTTTATAAAAATTGGTTGTTACTTGCAGTTGTTAAAGTTTTGCATTTGCTTTTGTCAGATCTGTTAGTTCCCTTTAGTAGTATAAATATTTACCATTAATTGATTAACATATTACAAAAAGTTCTATGATAAACATTTAGGTATATCATTTTATGTATATTCTGTAGTTTTGTCATGCAATGTGGTAACTTGGTCCCTTTCCTTAATTACTAATATCTACATACTTACCAAGTTGGGAAAGTTGACGAATGTAATATGTCTAACATGCAGACAACAGTATTCACACAGAATTACCTATATAGAATTATGTTGAAAATTTACTGGTCTTTTGTGACTCATATCTTTAAAAAAAAAATCCATATTTTTGTATTCTTAAAGAAAACTTCAATTAAAGTAATTTTTAGAGTTACAGACATAAAAAAATTTACTATTATTTTTATGTTTAGAGAATTGATGTAGTTTGTTGAATTATTGTAGTTTGTTTTATAGCAAACATCTACTGCTAATTGAAAAAAATCTACATACAAATGTATATAGTAAACAAAAATATATATTTAAATACAATAAAAAAAGAAAACATTTGAGAAGAATTTGTTTTATATGTTTGTATTCTTTTAGCTCAAAAAGTGTCATTATAAGGTTCATAGTAAAACACACATGACCCTGGTCGTTCAAAAAAAAAATTCCAATATATCCTCTGAATTCAGCTACTGTAAATTCAGAAATTATTGCATGCATTTATTATTGCGATTTTTCAAGAATAGACAAAAATGCGAGTTTAATTATTGCGATTTCGAAAAAATCTGCATACAGATCTATGTTTCAGTTATCAGAAAGCGAGTTTTTATCATTGCGATACTCATACAGTCGCATTATTCGCATTAATAAAGACCTCGCAATAATTTCTGAATTTACAGTAGTTTATAAAGACCAAATGAGTTTCCTTAAGGTATCCAATTTGTATATAATTAATGAAAGGTGTACATGTCCTATAATAACATTAAGAGTACAAATTTTTACTGCACCAGATGCCCATTTTGACAATATCTGTTCAGTGATGCTCCAGGTCAAAATATTTGAAAAATTGAAGAGCTGATAATACCAAAAAGGACCAAAGGTGAAGCCAAAGCTGACAAGAAATTGATTATGCATGAGGGAAATGCATTCATTAATTTAAAATAATTTCCAATTATTTTTAACAGCAATTTTCAATAAAACAATATCTGTATGTTCATGCAAGTACTGAAATAATGGCTATTGGGCTGGTGACAGGGTTTATCTTACCTTGACTTCATTTTCATTGAGCATTGACAATAGTAAGCTTTTGTCATACCTGTAGGAAAAGCTTGATCACAAATACTTTCAAAATAAAATTCAGTGATACCTCCAAATCAGGCCAAGCTTTTCAGTGTGCGCACTCTTGTCTTGTATTATTAATTTATGTCCCTCTTATAGTGCAATAGTGTAAAAACATTTTTTTTATACCTTCTACACACACAAGTAGTCAACATTCTAAAGTTTTATTTCAATTTTAAAAGATAGTTTCATAAAAAAAAAAACCAGAGACATCAAAGATACAGGTGTGGTTTTTTGTTGAGCCTGCGACGTTTGTCGCAGAAAGATCGACATAGGGATAGTGATTTGGCGGTGGCTGCGTTAGCTAACTTCTTAAAAGCTTAATATTTCAGAAGGTAGAAGACCTGGATGCTTTATACTTTGTATATAGATGCCTTATGATATGAAGTATCCGTCTGTCATATGTCCATTGTCCTTGTCCTCATTTTCATGGTTTAGTGACTACATGAAAAAAAAGTTAACATTTTTTGTAATGTTAATTTCTCTCTTATTATGAGTAATAGGGTAACTATATTTGGTATGTGCGTACCTTGCAAGGTCCTCATGTCTGTCAGACAATTTTACTTGACCTCGACCTCATTTAATGGATCAGTGAACAAGGTTAAGTTTTCGTGGTCAAGTCAATATCTCAGATACTATAAGCAATAGGTCTACTATATTTGGTGTATGTAATGATTGTAAGGTGTACATGTCCAACTGGCAGGTGTCATCTAACCTTGACCTCATTTTGTTGGTTCAATGGTAATAGTTAAGTTTTTGTGTTTTGGTCTGTTTTTCAAATACTGTATGCAATAGGTCAACTATATTTGGTGTATGGAAATATTTTACGATGTACATGTCAGTCTGGCAGGTTTTTTTTTTACCTTGACATCATTTTCACGGTACATTGCTCAATGTTAAGTTTTTGTGTTTTGGTATGTTTTTCTTAAAATTTAAGCAATAGGTCAACTATATTTGGTGTATGGAATGATTGTAAGGTGTATATGTCTGTCTGGCAGGTATCATCTGACCTTCACCTCATTTTCATGATTCATTGCTCAATATAGTATTTCCATGGTTTGGTTTGTTTCTTTTATACTATAAGCAATAGGTCATCTATATTCTGTGTATGGAATGATTGTATTAAAGGTATACATGTATTTCCGTCTTGGTTTATCTGACCTTGACCTCATTTTCTTGGATCATAAATGTTCATGTGATACTTGTAGTAAAACTTTATATGTAGGACTATCAACATAAAATCAATGGTCAGTATAGTAGGCGAGACATTTCAGCGTGTGCACTCTTGTTTTTTTTTAGGAAGGAACAAATCAAGGTACTTTCAGCCACCATTCTTATTCAAACAAAAAGTTCTTTAAAGCTAATGTCACTAAAGAGGGGGGAAGATAGCAAAGGAATATGCAAGCTCATAAGTGGAAGACAACTGACAATGCCATGGCAAAAACTGAAAAATGACAAACAAACTCTACAAGACAACATACAAAACCAAAAAAAAAGCAACCCCACCAAAATCAGGGGGTAATGTCTAGTGCTCCAGAAGGGTAAGCAGATACTGCTTGACATATGGCACATGTTAGTACAAATTTGGTGATTGTCCCATTCAGTGATGCACATTTATGGAACAGAGGGCAAGATTGTGGTTACTTCGTAACGGTCAACCATCACTTGATGGTGCTGTAAACATTTTTTTGAAGAGATAGGATATGCAAGCTCTGAAATATTGTGTCAAGATATATACAGGTGCTGCTGGAATGTTGTTACATAGAAAAGAAAGGTTTTGGAAGCTGGAATCATCTCTTTTGTTATAAAGTTTGTTCTCAACTGACACTTATCGTCGATCTCTAGATGTAAGTCAAGATATGAAGCAGACTTAACTGTATCTGTCGTATTCTTTATTTCAAGTTTGATGGATAGATGCGTTCAACAGAAAGAATAATGCTAGCTTCTTTTCATTCTTCCTAAGAAGCTGCTATATGATTGATTGATTGTTGGTGTTGTATTGCCACTTTCATCACTCATGGCTATATCGTTGCGGCCACTTTTCATTGGTGGAGGAAGCAGGAGAGAACCATCAACCAATTTTTGGCAGGGAAACTGGCAATCCTAGGCTCTTGTATGAAATCTGCGTCAAATAAAGGAACAAGTCGGCAAGAAGAGGAGCACAGTTAGTTCCCATAGGGATTCGATTCTGATTTTTTTTTAAACACGTCATTAAGGTGCTTGATTTTTATTTACAACATCTCTATAATTGGTGGATGTGTTTTCAACAGATTGTCAGTAATCCTATGGGAATCTGCTGTGTTTTCTTGCCCACTTGTTCCTTCGTTTGCAAACTAAATACAGGAGCTTCTTGGAAAGAATAAGCAGAAGCTAGGATTATCCTTTAAATCCTCTATATTGAATATATATAAGATTAGTGACTATGTTGATCACATATATCCAATTTAACTTGAATTAATGGTTATCACGGAAACAGTTCAGTTTAATATTTTGACTTGCATCTGCAAATAGATAAGAGTTTGGTTGAAAAAATAAACTTTGACAAAGATGATTTGAATCTTTCTGCAAAGAAGTTCCGTTTTATACATGCCTATGGAGTATTTGTCTCCCATGTGACACAATATGATACAACATTCCAGGTCCTATTTAACCAAGTTTTCTTATTGGTAAAGTAATACCACCATTGATGTCCCCCTATTAGTCTTTGTTAAATTGGCACTTTCCAAAAAATTTTGCAGAATTTATCTTTGTTTCAAATAAAGAAATACTTAGCATGAGTAAAGTCTTATCCTGTCCAGTACTACAGTGAAAATTTCACATAACATTTCATTGCAAATAAGAAAATAACCATCACTGGAAGTAAACCTATCAAATTTTCACCCCTTTTTTTTACCTCACCTGACCCAAAGGGCCAAGTGAGCTTTTCTCATCACTTTGCGTCCGTCTTCTGTCATCCTCGTCCGTCATTGTCGTTAACTTTTACAAAAATCTTCTCTGAAACTACTGGGCCAATTTTTACCAAACTTGCCCACAATCATCATTGGGGTATCTAGTTTAAAAATGCGTCCGACGACCCTGCCTGCTAACCAAGATGGCCGACGTGGCTAAAAATAAAACATAGGGTAAAATGCAAGTGTTGTCTATTATTTTGAAAACCATTATAAATAGAGAAAATCTGACAATTGTTCAGAATGTTGAGCTCTACCAATTGTTTCGTATACCATATGTCAAAACTGTCAGATGACTTCTTATAGGAGTTATAGCCCTTAAATGACAAATTTTACCATATTTTTTTTCTTTTTTGCCAATTATCTAGAAAACTATAAAAGATAGAGAAAAACTTTAAATTGCAAAAATGACCAGCAAGACAAGCTCTACAAATGAGTCTGCATTGTCGAAATCGTCAGTCGACTCTTTATTAGAGTTATTGCCCTTTGGTGACGATTTTTATCATTTTTTTGTGTGTTTTTGCCTTACATCTTAAAAAATATAATAGATAGATAGAAACTTAATGCAAAAATGATGAGCAAGACAAAATCTACAATTAAGACTATGGAGGAAATCGTCCGACGACTCCTTATTGGAGTTATTGCTCTTTAATGACGATTTTTACCATTTTTTTTGGCATTTTGCCTTATATGATAAAAATTATAATAGACACTTTAAATCACAAAAATGATCAGCAAGGCAAGGTCTAACAAGTCAAATTTTGTCGATATAGGTAGTAGACTCACTCTTTATAGGAGTGATTGCCCTTAAATGAGGTTTTTTTACCCTCTTTTAACTAAAAAAGATAAGAGTGAAACCAAACAGACTAAATGATCAGCAATACAAGATCAACAAAACAGAGATTTTTGTCATGAATTCTATTCTCGTCTACAATGTTGGAGACTGTCCTTTGTTGAATATGCACATAGACCAAGGTGATCGACACAGGCTAGTTCCTGTTAACAAGCTTTAGTAACCATGTCACCTGAAGTTTCCAAAATATTTTATAGAAACAGCAAATAAAAAAAATTGGTGCTTTTAAACACCGAAAATATATGTTTATGACTCAGAAATTTTTTTCTGCAATGAAATGCAGGGTTAATTCCCTACAACTGTATAAATCAAGGGAATATTTTTTTCGTATGAAACCGGATGTGACGTACTATGATTTGGTGGTATTAGACCTAAACGTCATCCCTTTGTAAATGTT